AGGGGACATTAAGATGAATATACCAAAAATACGCTGTATCAAACTTTCACTTCAAACTTTAAAGTTACTTCAATTTTCGCTCAGTATTAGCACAACAGGACAGATATCGTACGCAAATTTGTGTTGGGAGTAGGAGAAGTCAAGTCAGAGAGAGCGGCCGAGGAACTGCACGGCTGCAGCTTAATATCCTCCCGTCTCCCCAGGTGGACCAATCAGCATGCAGAAGGTAATCAGCTAACGGGCACCACCTGCTTGCTCACACACACACAGACACAGGAGGAGGGAAAAATGTACACACAAATGACCCAACGACCCAGGGTCGTAACAATACACTAAACAAGTTATCCAAAGTGTTGTCAGATGACATGGCATGCACTACTACTAGATGCAACTGGTGAATAAATCAGTGCACATACGGCACCTCTCTCTTTAATTCTTCCTGCAGGATTTTCTGCATCCCTCCATGTACTCCAGACATGACATTTGCCCCATCGTAACATTGACTGAGCACCTTGTCTGTACATAACCCAATGTCTCTCAACTTTGACAAAACCAGCTCAGTCAGAGACTTGGCATCACATGTTTTACTAGTTGCCATTGATACAAGTCTCTCCTTCACAGTGTTGCTTTTATCCACAAAGCGAAGCACAATTGAGATGTTTTCGCACCCAGTGGGGTCTTTGGTGCCATCCACTTTTAATGTGTACCACGCCTCTCCTATTTCATTTACTATTTCAGCTGTGATGATTTCACTCATGAGTTCAATTATCTCATTTTGTATGTGATTTGAGGTGTATGTGGCATTGGGCGGGATGGTGCTAAAAATCTTAGCAAGTTCTTTGTCCTTTTGAAGGGTGTACTCCATCATTGCTAGAAAAATACCACAACTCCCCTCGCCTCTTGCATCCAACGCATCAACAGAGCCACAGAAAGGCAACTGGTTTACAGCTATAAATTGAATTATGTCCACAATAGCTGCTACATAGGTGCGGTTTCTCTCCAGTTGTGCTGCATTTACAAGAGTGGAAACCTCAGTACTAGTCTCATTTCTTGCACGCCTCTCCTTCCACAAAGCCACTGACTTCATGTGCTCTTTGCTTGATTCATGCCTTCCCAGTCCCTTATGACGTACAAGAGCATGGCGCCAGTTGTTGTAGCTAGTTGTGGTGAAGGCATCTGACTTACTTGAACTGAAATGTCTACATGCATAGCAGAAGAGGCAACCCAGTCTCACGGCATTTCGTGTTCACCAACACGATTTTTAATCTATTGATTCGTGTTCCCCAACACGATTTGCCCCTTTTTTTTTCATGTTGCACAGCACGATTTTTTTTCGTGTTGCACAGCACGATTTTAAAAGCAATGTATTTCTATTGCCTGCAGCACGTCTTTTTCTCCGGTCGGGTCGAGGAATACCTGAAGCTGTGTGGTTCATAAAAACATGTTCTTACTCAATATCAAGCCACAATTATTGCTTTTATTTTAAATCGTATAATTTCGGACTTTTATTATTTTCAAAATAACACACTGTTATTTACTCACCAATAATACACAATTATCCTTGCTTTTATTTATTGGTTTAATTCCCTAATCTCGGGCTTTTTTGGCGTCCGTCAGGGACTGAATTTCAAAATAAAATATCCGGAAACAGACGTAGGACTATAAGGGACATTTCGAGCGTCATTGCGATTGTCAACCTTTCTGAGTTTAGGATGGCCGAAGACACTACACTACCCATAATCCCCAGCTATCGTTTAGGACTACAGTCCCCCGTAAGGTTACGCAGAGCGTCAAACAGCTGTGTGAAATGGAACGAAACCACGCCAGACTATCCAAAACTGGAATCGAACGCCCCCCCCCAGAACTACACATGCTGGATGCTGGCTATTGTGTTTCGCCAAATGTTCTATGGGACGTCTCTACTGAACGTTTTCGTTTTTCCCACAATTAGAAGTTGCCAGTATTAAACACATTGGCGTTATCAAATGTAAAACTATTATATATTATTTATTATAATTAATAAATGGGTGAAAATCGCTATATATACCCACATGACAGCTCATTGTTACTTTGTAATTCTACTCCACTACAATTCAGAGGTTAACCTGGTATTTTTACTCCACTGCATTTATTTGAGTTACTTTGCAGATTCTGATTAATTATGTGAAATATAAACAACCCTTAAATCAGACTTTAGTTACACCTGAGTAAAATTCAGGTAAGGTGATTATCAAGTGCCAACAATCAGATATTTGATAGTTGGTGCTTGAGAAGACTAAACATGTATCTGCAATTGACATGAATGGAAACGAGTAATAAAGTATATTCATTACTCGTTATTCTCTACTAATAGTTAATTAAAGACTGTATATTATGGCTATTTTGCACATCCCTTTCAAGATTTTCAAAGGTTTATTGACATATCATATACACAACTACGGTGTAGTTATGCAATGAATGAAACACTTGGGTCACAGGTTCCTCAACAGTGCATTACAAGACATCTATCAATATGTGTGAACCTCCACCATTAAACTGTCATATTCTGCACATTTCTTATTCTATCTACATACATACGAGTATAATTCATATGTATAATATCAGTTCAAATAAGTGCTTCAACATAGTTAACATTGCAGGAAAGCAATATATTAGACGTTAAGTACTTTGTCAGGCTTAATATTTATCTGTAGATAGATACCCCCAACGTTTTTTTCTTATTTAAAAGAAGACCTTAATCTGTTATTTAATGTTTAAATAAAGGTTAATTCGTTTTTCTGTTTTGCACCTCCTCCTATTAATATCTTTGTACATGCTGCACTAAACTGTTTTATTGTAGAGATCACTTTATAGTATCTTCTTGATTTTTTATATTCTATATTTCTATATTTATACTTTCCCCCTATGAAAGTATGTACTCTTAATATTTTTTTAATCAAACACAATAATTCAATAACGTGCTTTAACCACTAGATGCATACAAGGTACACAAATGTTTTCCGGATTTCATATCATATAAACACCAAATCCCAGCATGCATTGCGGCTAAAACATCCAATAAACGAGCTTAAAACCATAGCTGAGGATCTTGGGTAATGCCTATGTCCGGTTATTTTTATTTTGAAATTCAGTCCCTGACGGAGGCCAAAAAAGCCAGAGATTATGGAATTAAACCAATAAATAAAATCAAGGATAATTGTGTATTATTGGTGAGTAAATAACAGTGTGTTATTTTGAAAATAATAACAAATTAGAAGGAAAAAAATATTTTAAAAAAATACAGATTTCAGTATTCTGAGGCTCTGAGCCCCATTTATTTCCCTCACAGACGGCAACAAAAGTCCGAAATTATACGATTTAAAATAAAAGCAATAATTGTGGCTTGATAATGAGTAAGAACATGTTTTTATGAACCACACAGCTTCAGGTCTTCCTCGACCCGACCGAAGAAAAAGACGTGCTGCAAGCAGTAGAAATACATTGCTTTTAAAATCGTGCTGTGCAACACGAAAATAAATCGTGCTGTGCAACACGAAAAAAAGGGGCAAATCGTGTTGGGGAACATGAATCAATAGATTAAAAATCGTGTTGGTGAACACGAAATGCCGTGAGACTGGGTTGGAAGAGGGCATCTTTTTCACATGCATATTCCAGCCAATCTCTGTTTTTAAACCATGAGCTGCTAAATGAGCGCCTTACCCCACTGTACAGGCGAGTTCGGTAGCCTACTTTTTTAAATATACCTGGGTAGGCTCTGTTTTGCCGAGGTCCTCTGGCACTTGCGGGCCGCTGAGGGGTGGCGTTATTTGGGGCAACGAAGACGGCTGCGGCTGCTCCTCCTCCGCCTCCGTGGGAGAGGCGGGCAAAGCCGGCGAGTCGGGCGGGAGGTGTCCTCGACAGCAACGTAATAATGTCCCCATGATCTGAACTCTTACAGTAGATGCAGTGTTACTGCTGGCGATTAGGGCTGGTTGTTTTAACCATTTTCTGATGTCCATGATCATTGACTGGTGCTGCGTAAGCACCTTGCAGAGGAGATGACGAACGCGCAGCGGCACAGGTCACGCGCACCTGACATAATAACGTTACTTACCGTTTAAATTGACCAAATAAATGCAGCAGACAATGTTATTTAACCACAATTACGATTTATTTTATTTCAACTATATTCTTATTATTATTATTACTATTATTATATATGTAATAATTTTTTTCACTTTTCATTTTTCAAATGAGGGTGCATAACGACTCAACTGAGGGTGCAATGCACCCTTATGCACCCCCGTAGAACCGGGCCCGCGTCTCTAAACCCCAAACCCTCTCCCGTGCAGTCCTCTCGCCGGGTGCGGTGGCGCGCGCCTGTAATCCCAGTTACCGGGAGGCTGACGGCCCGTCTACACTACAGGCGTCGAAAAGGCTTGAAGCTGGGCGTGTCTGAGGCTTGGCGCTTTCTCGCGACCAACATGTGTGTGTGTCTGTGATGTGTGTGTCTGTGGTGTGTGTGTGTATGTGATGTGTGTGTCTGTGGTATGTTGGTGTGTCTGTGGTGTGTGTGTCTGTGATGTGTGTGTCTGTGGTATGTTGGTGTGTCTGTGATGTGTGTGTCTGTGGTATGTTGGTGTGTGTGTCTGTGTGATGTGTGTGTCTGTGGTGTGTGTGTGTGTGTCTGTGATGTGTGTGTTTGTGTCTGCCTGTGGTGTATGTGTGTGTCTGTGATGTGTGTGTGTGTGTGTGTGTCTGTGATGTGTGTGCCTGTGGTGTGTCTGTGATGTGTGTGTGTGTGTGTGTGTGTGTGTGTGTGTGTGTGTGTGTCTGTGGTGTGTGTGTGTCTGTGTGATGTGTGTGTCTGTGGTGTGTGTGTCTGTGATGTGTGTGTCTGTGGTATGTCTGTGTGATGTGTGTGTCTGTGGTGTTTGTGTATGTGTGTGTCTGTGACGTGTGTGTGTGTGTGTGTGTGTCTGTGGTGTGTGTGTCTGCGTGGCGTATAACTTTTTTTTTAGCATTCAGCTATCGGGTCGGGCATGCAACAGTGGCTGTCATCGTCAAGGAGGTTGCGGGTGCCATCTGGACCGCGCTGGTCGAGGAGACCATGCCGGTACCACAGACGGAGGACTGGAGAGCCATCGCTGCTGGGTTCCAGGAGCGCTGGATCTTTCCAAATTGCGTTGGTGCCATTGATGGGAAGCACGTGGTGATCCAGGCTCCGGCAAATTCTGGGTCCCTCTACTTCAACTACAAGTCCAGCCACTCCTTGGTACTGCTGGCTGTCGTGGATGCTGAGTACCTCTTCAGGGTAGTGGATGTCGGAGGTTTTGGAAGGAGCAGCGACGGTGGGAGCCTGCAGAATTCCGCTTTTGGAGAGAGCCTCAGAGATGGCAGTCTGCAGCTACCACCTGACACCGTCATCCCAGGAGCAGAGCGGCTGGGCCTTCTTCCCCATGTGTTTGTTGGAGATGAGGCTTTTCCGCTGCTGGACAACCTGCTGCGTCCGTTCCCTGGACGTCAGCTCACGCGTGAAAGGAGGCTGTTCAACTACCGCCTCAGCCGGGCCAGGTTGGTGGTTGAATGTGCGTTTGGCATCCTCTCATCTCAGTGGAGAATGTTCCGGCGTGTCATCACCACCAGCCCGGAGGTAACAGAGTTGTGTGTGAAGGCCACCTGTGTGTTGCACAACTTCCTCCGCAGGAAGACAATAGGAAGGTCATCACGCACACCTGTTGTCCCTGTCGTCGCAGAGTCGAGTGATGAAGCTCCAACCCTGCGTGATGCACCTATGATGGGCTCAAACAACGCCACACGCCGATCCATCCAACTGCGGGAGACCTTCTGCTCCTATTTGAATGAGGAGGGTGTAGTGTCATGGCAGCATAAAGTGGTGTAGGGTCACCATGGCTCCTCCAAACCAAAAGCTCTTTTAAGAGCTACCCATTTTCTTTAAAGAGCAAATATTCCAAATGAGCCATTTTAAAATCAAACATTCCTAATAAACATGTTTCTTGAATTGATATTATTATATTATGATATGACTAACAACCTTTTTCTTTCAGCCCTGTTTTTACTGATAAACCACTCATAATTTCAATAGGTTTTCACATGACCAATTACAGAAGAAAGCACATTATATATACCGACATACATGAAGCTTCTGGTATGTTGCAACTGACAAACCACATGAACAAGTGAAGACACAGTATAGCCATAACATACTTGAAATAATGTTTTATTTGGTGAATTTGAGTGAAGTGTGTGTGATGAGTGTAAAAAAATGTAATGTGGATCAGTATGTGTGAAAAAATTATTATATTATAAATTGTCCTGCTGGTCCATGTAAAAAATTAGCTGGTGTACCCCGAGGCGGACTCTTGCCCTCTGTGCCCTTGTCATCTGCCTCATGGTGGGCAAGAGGCTCTTGAAAAATTGCAAGTCCTCGTCCTCCTCCACCACTGGTGGGGTTGGCTGGGCAATTGCTGGGTAATTGCTGACAGCAGACAGCAGACTTCGTTCAAACGGGGACATCTCCCTCCCCCTCCCCCGTGTTTTGCCCCGGACCTCAGCATTCTCCTCCTGGCTGACTGCTGCTGGCTGACTGACTGGCTGGCTGGTGGACTGGCTGGCTGACTCACTGTCTACCTGGCTCTCTTCCTCTGCCACCAGGGTGGATGGAGGCAGGGTCTGCCGGGGGACATTGCTGGACGTCTCACGATCTATGATGAATGGGGTTAAAAACCCCATCACTGCCATGAAACGCCAGGGCTTGTACCCCCCTGCAGACCCTGCCCCGCTTCTTTTGGCCTCCTTCTCCATATTATTTTCCTTGCGGAACCTGTCCCTCAGACTCTTCCATCTCTTCTTGCAGACATTATCTAATGAAATGAAATGATAAAGTTAATAAATAATAAAGTGAATTTCTTGAATTTACTAAATTATTCCTCCATTAATGAATGCTATTTTTATGCTACATTCCATGCTGGCTAAATATACTGTCTATGCTTGATAGCTGTGAATCAAATGAAGTTTGATTTATATAGCACATTTATAAACGATTTTTGGTCGAGCCAAAGTGCTGTACATATAATAAAATTAGCCTACAGTAGAGACACTTTACAGCAAATACAACAGCACAGATTGTTCAGAATATCAGTATGAGAAAAACGACACCCTCTGCATGTATTATATGTTATATATTATGCTTATACTTATTATATTATATATAATATTTTTTTATTAATATATATTATATGTTATGCTACATTACTAGCTGGCTAAATATACTGTCTATGCTTGATAGCTGTGCATGTATTATATGTTATGTTATATATTATGCTTATTGTAAAGGAATATTTTAGTCTTGTTAAAGTATATAGAGTTTAGTGACTTGTCCTCGGGAATCTGTTTAATGGTTAAAGTATATTCCTGCCTGTAATGTGATCCATAGCTTCTCAGGAAGACACAGGTCAAGAGGTCATCTGATGTCTTGTCGGGGGAGAAGCTTGGCTCATGTGGGTTTGCAATGCAACGAGTCTTTGTCTCGACATCTGGCATGCATTAAAGGAAAACCCGCGTGTTTTAGGGCCCTCCTCTTCTAAGGTATAGATGTGTGCTTGGCGCTTTTGTCTTCAGAGTTGGCTGGTATCTTACATGAGAACTGTAGTATACTGTGATCTCTCCGGCCGTACGAATTCTCAATAAATATCAGTGTATTGACAGGCGAATCCAGTTTCCCTCATTTCATGATTGGCTCAACATTGCTGCAAAGAAGTTTTTACTTCACAATTGGCGTCGCGAACAGTTACCAACAGATCGTCGAGCTGGTGAGTGTAATTTCAAATCTATATTTTGACATTGCCTCGCCAGACTCTGTGATTGACGGTATAAAAATTACCTGTGGAACAGATAGATGCAATATTTTTGGTTCTCTGTGTGTGTGCACGGCAAATATTCGGAGAGACCTTAAAGAGGGCATCAGTAATGTGGAACTTCTGTTTAAAAGCAATGTAAAGATTTGTACTGAAAAGAATCGCCGAATTCTGGAGATTTCAACGGTTTAACTAGTTAAATCAACTCGCCTCGAAATCTCCCTGTTGCTGCTGCAAGGAGGGTGTGGGTAATTCCCCTCCCCCCCCCTGTGGAGAGCAGCACACGAGGAGAAACAAAGCACAGTCTCGTATTCTTCTTAAATCGCACCATTATGAGTTTTGGAACTAAACATAACTCTTATTAGGATGATACGAAATATTACGTCACGCTGTGTTTCATAAACTAAGGGGTTGTTGAATTTGGCTGTTGTTAAAATAAAGGGTACTGAATTTATTAAAAGTCTCTGCTCTCCGGATCGGGGAGGGCAGAGCACCACTAAATTAGCATAGTGGTTGTTGATTGAGAATAATGTGGTTATTACTCTTCAGCAGATTCCGTTCTTAGCACTTGTACAAGTATATATGAGTAAGAAGGCACTCATATTAAACAGATATTTCCCTACCCCCGCTGAAGTTTCCCTAATTCGGATTAAAATTAAGCTGGATGAGTTTAGCTGTCACCTGATATTTGTTGCGGGTTCATGTTTGTTTGTATAATTGTTTCGTGTTTGTTTGTCTACCCGCCGTCTTGTGCATGCTTTGTAACAACTAATAATGAATCAGTCCACAGCCAAGGTAAAATGAACTAAACGTTAGTTATCTCACCAAAAGTAAATGACAAGAACAAGACTCAGACATAATGATGATTGAACCCTTTTGCACTGTTTCTGCAAAATGAAAACTTTTTCATTATCTATTTCCAACTGGCCAGTGGAATTGGATAATTGATATAAGTTGAAGTTCAATTACAGTTTTTAAATATAGTTCAACATTCTTTATTAAACTGTTTCAAATTATTTCTAGTCATAATCCCCTCCTTTCTCTGCCCTGCTTGGTGCTGCAGAAGAAAAATAAAAAAAAATAAAATTAAAAAAACGCAAGACACGGGGTCAGAGACAGGCGTGACCTCTGGAAGGAAAAGATAATCTGAAGCAGACCACAGCACGGTGCGTTGGGGGTTTTATGGCCTCAGCACAAAGGAACATCTAATTTCAGCAGTCAGTTTTTTTTTTGGCAGAACTGTTGAGCATTTTTTAAATGTATTTTCATGCCTCTGCAAGGCTTAGTCTTTCTATCTGTAAAGCCACTGGTGTTAAGTAACTAAGTTCATAAACTCAACAAGTACTATACTTGGGCACCATTTTGAGATACTGGTACTTTATTTGAGTATTTAAATGTTTTGCTACTTTATTCTTCTACTCCACTACAGTTCAGTGGTACATGGTGTATTTCTACTCCACTACATGTATTTAATACCTTTTAGTTACTTTCAGATGTGGATGAATGATGTGAAATCTAATCAAGTGTTGAATCAGACGTTAGTTCCACCTGGAGTAAATCCACAAGCTACCCTGCAGTACACAAAGTCATTCAAACTAGCTGCACCTTTACCAGCTTTGAGAACACTTTCATGATCAATCATTATAAAACATATCATATATAGTATTTTGAAATAAACCAATCTGCACAGTGACTACTTTTACTGTCGCTATTTTCACTATATTTTGATGACAATACTTTTATACTTTTACTTGAGTAACATTTTGAATGCAGTACTTTTACTGTAACTTAGTATTCTATGGAAGCAAACAAGAGACAGAAGTATTTGAATTTTATTAGACACCGAATTTATAGCATTGAAAATAATTACTTTGAAAATCATGAATCTGAATTTTTTTTGCTCCGAATTTATCTATGTGAAATAAAAATGTAAAAATTCAAGTTAAAAAAATTCGAATGTTCAAATTCAGATCCCAAAAATTCAAGTGAAAAAAATTCGACATCAAAAATTGCGATGCAGCCTCATCCGGGCTACTCAGACAGGATAAGCAATCGAGCCCTAATGCAATCAAACCGACTTCTGGCCTATCAGAGCCAAGCGGCAAACCCCGGGACAGTGCGGTGAAGCCCAATGCTGCAAACTGTAGGCGATGGATGCAGATGGGAGCAATTCCCGTAGACCCTTTGTTAAAATGTCCAACTTAAAAAATGAACATGTTTCTAGCCTGGATCTACAAAAACATATTCTGTATATAGTTAGATTCCCCCTTCATGACAACGGGACTGCTGCTCCTAGCTCCTCTCTGCTAGCTCCGTTAGCTCCGTGATGCTACAGCGGCTCAGCTCATGAGGAGAACACTACTTGAACTCGGCAGTGTTTGTTGTGTTGGCTCCTGGTGGACTATTCGTCATGCAAATATAGGATTTATCTGCGGTTGAAACAGACCGTCCATGAATGCAGTTTCTTCGGTAAGTCAACCCTGCGTACTTTATGTTATGTTACTGGTGTTTTTATTAAGCTAACGTTAATGAATGTTTAGAGTTGGGGTAGCATTTGAGCAATCGTAGCTCCATCTGTGCTAACGATGCTATGCGTAGCATCCAAGAGTGTAAAACATTAAGTGGGATGCTACTGTCTACCAAAAGGCTTCTGTGCGAGGTTGCTAAAATAAGGTCATCCTTGTACGTTAGATAGTTAGTTTGCTATTTAGGTTACTGTATGCATTGTTAAGGTTCATTTAAATTCGCTATGCTCTACTATAGCATAAAATAGACTAGCTAACGTCAACGTATTGTTGAAGAGAGGCTTAGTGTATATTAAATCAACCTCACAATGAAATATGTGTATCTTTAAAATATGAACGTCACATTTCAAGATAATAACGCTCCCTTAGATATTGTAATATGGTTTGTTGAACTGGAGTTATTTATTGCAGCTAACCGCCTATCCGACGAACGACCCAAACATTGTTGTTTTTAATATTATTACCAATGCCTCTTTTAATTGTATTATCATCACACTTGAGAAACAGCCTTATCGTGGCTATACAACGGAACATGTAAC